TCGTCTGGACTTAGCGTAGCGGTGTTTACCATAACCACTATTGTGATATGAAAATAAGCATAACTGTGTATGGAAGCAAAATAGACATTTAGTCATTTTAATATAGCTTACAAAAACAAATCCTTAGAAAGTTATGTCAATTTTGTTGGGTTCAGCGTTGTACAAAACACGGAAACCCTTTTTTACCCAACGCGAAGGACTAAATAAAATCATAAAACAAGCTATATAGATCTCCTAATAAAACCTTTATGGAACCTACAATTAGTTTTGTTCATTATTTACGGATGTGTTTTAATTTTTGTGAACATTTTCTAAAAGTTGATGGACATGATTTTTAAATTCCTGAATATGCTTTGAATATTGGCTCATTTAAAAAAATCATGAACATTTTTTATTTCATGAAATCAGTAGAAATCGTGATTTGTTTATAATTTGTGAGCAATTTTTTAAGTCATGAACATTTTTTGATTTTTAGAATATTTTTTAAATTCACAAACAGTTTACCATTTTCCTACTTTTTTTCAGAACTCGCAATTGTTTGATATTTTGGAAATCCGAAATTAATTTTGAGATAAAAAACCAAAACAGAAATAAAAAAGTAAAAAGAAATAAAAAATAGGGGGCGCCATCAATCCGAAATTTATTTTTAGGGAAAAAACAAAATAGAAATAAAAAAAAGATATAGAAAACCGGGGGCGCCACGACCCGCACATGGGCTGGCCCATTACTGCGCTTGGTAAAAAGAAAGAGAAAAAGCGTGAGAACCAGGGATCGAACCCTGGTCTCCTGTGTGGAGCATCGTTGCCTCAGCCATCGCGCTGCTCATGCATTGGTGCTATTATATCGTATCCACCTTTAATAACAGAACCCTGGAGCGATATTAGAAATTAAAAACGAATCATTTTTGCCACTTACGGGTGGCATTGGTGGGTAATTATTGCCAACTTCAAGGGAATTTTTAATGACGGACGGGCAGAAGCACTATTTGCTTTATTAGTAGGTAAAGACTAGCACAAATGCCCGTGCGTTGCAACGGGAGAAAAAAGATAATATCACACGTCTTTTCTTATTTATTACAACTCGTATTACAGTGATAAGTAGAATTATTTTTTGCCTCCATAAGTAAACTTGCTGAAATGTCTCTTATGTTTCTCTTTCTCCTAATTTTTTGCACAAAGCTCTTCCATGAATCTGCACATTCCTGGTAGCTAGCACACTGTTTATAATAGGTTTTGTGGGAAGTAGTACCGCCGTGCCCCGTGCATGAAGCTCCTTGTTGCAGCTGATATGGTTGCACACCTAGAAAGAACACAATGAAATAATATTCAAGGGATATTGCTCGACGCCAGCTCAGGTGCTTCACACTAAGGGAAGACCTTGGGCTTGGACATGTCATGCACTGTTCCAGAATCTTCATCATGCTAATGCTACAACGGCCAATAGAACCTGACTGAGGAAGCGTCGTTTTCCTTCTCAGTCCTCTGGTGATGTTTGGTGGGGCAACCTATTGTTGTTGTAGGTACATTATGTAAAGCATGTACTCTTTTTTCTTTCATTATTGTTCAGCTGCAGTTGCAAATCATCAAATGGGTAGGATGTATTTTTTTTGCCATGCCGAAAAAGGATGTAGTTATTTACCATCCTACTATCATCGGGTTACACGGCGACAAGTAAAATATCCCCTTTGGTGAAAAACAAAACATTTAGAAGTAGTAGTCCGGCTTGGACCATATTTTCTTATTGATAATCTAATATTTCTTGAAATGTAAAGCTTCTCTACTTTCACGTCCAAATATTGGGAAGCACCAAACAATATTATGTCTGTACTGGAGAAAGAAGTAGAAAACCTAAAAGGATTAAGTTATTGATGCTTGAAGGTCGTCCAGGTAATATAAGGTAAGAATAGTAGGAACAGAATTGCATCAAGTGTTACCATCTGGAAAGTTCTGGCATGCATGCCTTAAGATATTCAATTAACTAAAGTCCTAGAACTTACAAAGAGGAAATCTAACAAGATAAGAAATGTTCAACTTTCATAAGTAAAATTGAACCTGACGATATAATTATCTATGTTGTGTGAAACTAAATCAATCAATTTTGGTTATTACAGGCAAAGCAATATGATAAAATGCTCATCTCATCTCCAACTTGTCTGGCCTTTATAGCAGCTAAAGTAGCACTAATTACCTCAACCTCTGCAGCAGATGCTTCAACCAAATAATTAGCACATTTGCACTATCTTCTGCACACACACACAAAATAAGTTCGAAACACATCTCAGTACGCGGTAGCTCACATTTAATATGAACAGAAGACCATCCATAGAAAGATGGTCTGCACAAGTCTAGGACAGAAATAATGCAAACCTCGGTGTCACTGGACCACAACATTCTCAGGGCTGATATCCGCATACACATCCCCATTAACAGGAGGAGCAACTGGGTTTCCAAGAACCACAGCTCCATCAGCTGTTGTTTCTGCAGTCATTTGCATGTTTGTTCATCATCGTAGCAAATATGCCCGGTGCTCATCCAGCTTGCATGTTAGCAGGAGCTGCAGTTACAAGCATTTGTTGTTTCAGCAGCAAGAAGGTCATCTAGCAGCACACCTGCGGTTACAACTACATATTAATTTTTGCGTCAACAAAAAGTAAACTAATGAACCTACAAAGGACGGTGGATATCATATTCAGAGTCCATGGGAGAAAGGGAGAAAGCAAACTGCATGCATTATGGATTATATTACTACAATATAGTGCAAGCAAGGCCATCCTTAGGCCCATACCTCTTAGGAACGTCCAATGGCATGGTCCCCTGCAGATAGGTTGGCCTCGTTAAGTAGGAGGTTGTCAGGTGCAACATTGTAGTTGGGAGGGTTATCTGTAGTTGACATATTTATAGTATAGTATTATTTACTCTTCATTCTCTTGAATCCATTAGACTTGTATGTAATACATATCTTAAGAAAATAAAATGAAACAACATCAGATACATGTAAACATGAAGGAAACACATTTGTCTAACTAAAATAAGACAAAGAAGAGATCCTTACTGTAATTGCATTCTCAACCAAGTGAAATACTAAGCCTTGCATGCCTATGAGCTCATCAAAAGGGACATCCTCGGCACCATCCATGTCATCCAGACCATCTAACATATGCTCAACTTGGGCCTATTAGAGTGATTTGGATGTTTGTCAGAAAGCTTCTTCACCCAGCTGGCAAGTCTTCAAACCGAGCATGCAAATGTAGATTCGCTTCCTTTAAAACGTTTCATGCATGATCAATAATCTATAGTCCGATGATTCTTGCCAAAAATCAAATATCAAAATTAATCGCAGGTTAATTAAGCAGTGTAGAAGTAAAGCAACAGACTATCAGTTACACAAATCATTTCAGGTTTTCAGCCACAACAATGTACAAAAAACATCAGATCTCCAGACAAATTGCCATTGGTAAGTAGCTCTGTCTAACATATGTTTAACACTAACTACTTCTTTTTGCGCCAAAAAAAAACAGTAAATGCAATTCTGACTTTCAAAGCAAATATACTAATCCAAAATTACAAATAGATATTTGATCTACAGGAACACAAACACTACATTATCTAACCATGTATAAGACACCACTTCAGAGTTCAGACCATCAGTTCAAGAAAGTAAATTATGCAAAACTATTAAAAAGCAGATGAGATGCGAGTTTGGCTTCAACAATCATTAAGATATATCAGGAAATTACAAAGTTTGCTTCAGTGAATACCTAAGTGCAGAACCAACAGATGGAGTTCCGACGAAGTGTGGAGCAAGGGTGAACGGCGGGTGGTGTGCCGGCAGCTCGATCCCCACCTCATTCCCTCGTGTGCCGCACCAGGAGAGGAGCCATGCGCCCCTCGCGCGCCTGCGCGTCCCGCCTGGCAGTGGCTTTGACGCCGACGAAGTCCTCGCTCCCGGACGCCTCCATTCTCGGGTCCTTCGTCTCCGTGCGCACCTCCCGCTTCGCTGTCGCCGCCTGATGCGGACCCCGAGCGTAGCCTCCCCGCCTCTCCATTTTTCTCCTCCTTCGTCTCCGCGCGCCCATCTCCGTGCTCCCCTCCCACCTCGCCACCGCCACCTGATGCGGCGCCCGAGCGCAACGCGACCCCCTCCCAGGTCAGATCAGGCTGCAGTGAAGCTTCACATCGGGATCCATGGCGCTGTCGTTCCTGACAGAGACAAGATTTGAGAGAGAGAAAAGAAAGGGAGAAGAAGAGAGATAGAGTGTGGGGGAGAGGGTAATGGACAACGACTGGAGGTCGGCGGCAGTGGCGCGGGACGCCGGCGTGAGGAGCAGGCCGAGGCGCTCGGGACCTGCTGGTCCAGATCGAGCGAGGGGCCTCGGGGAGGAGCAGAGCACGAGGCGGCGGCGTACGAGCTAGATCGGGAGGCTGTTTTTTTTTCTTTCTCGTCATACCGGTTCGATTGACTTTATTATATGGA